AGCATGCCTTGTCCCATTCCCCTTGCTTTTGCTGCCCTTTCCTCTTTTACCAACAATTCTTGGCTGTCAAAATGACAGCCAAGGGCTTGCTAAGTAATATTTGCTATCAAAAATTGAGCTTCTGAACAGTGATTGTCAACACTGTTCAGAAACATGATGCAGAAATAAAATGTAGCATTATTGTTTATCTAACCCCTTCCTCCCCTTAGCTATTATTTTTTATTACTTTTCTTAAGTGTTTTAACTTTTTTTTTCATGTTTATTCATTATGTTCCTTTTTTCAGTGTTAAATAAAAAAATGCAAACAATAAAAAAAAAAAATGTAAATTGTAAATAACTTTGCAATGCCTGAAAATGCCTGCATATCCCACTGCCGTCTGCTGTCTATGGATAGTATGGAGCCCAAGATGACAAGAGGGCTTCCCTTATACACCTGGACTGAACAACAGGGAGTAAAAGGGGAACAGGATGGCAAAGGTGCAAAGAGTCTAGTTCTTGGAAGTTTACTTCTGGGGGCAAGCGTGGCTGTGAAGTGTTTACGCAGACTGACAGGAAGGGTCCCTGGGAGAAGCAGACTGAAAGGTAGCTGGCTAGGACACTGGAACCCAAAGCAGGCTGGTAATGGGGTCTGGACAGGCAGTGGTCGGTAGCCAAGAAGCCAGATAGAAGGCAGGGTAGCAGGCACAATCATGGTCACACTGGATGGTCAGCAGAGAAGAGCTGTAATCAGGAACAAACCAAGGTCACACTTGGAATGATCAGAGACAACCCGTGGTCTGGAACTAGCTGAGGTCACACCAGGAATCAGCAGAGTCAAGCCGTGGTCTGGAACTAGCCAAGGCCGCACTGGAAATGAGCAGAGACAAGCTGTTAGGATCCAGAGCGCCTCCAGGTGGTGCTGGAGCTAAGCCCTGCAGTTCCTGTGCTCATCTGCAGGTGTCCCCAGGCAGCCAGGAACTGTTAGGTACCAGACCACCACTGGGTGGTGCTGGAATATGCAGCCCCACTGCTCACCCTGGGCTTCTCCCCGTGGTGTCTCCCAGCTGCCAGCACTTAGCCATCACCTGGTACTTCCTGGGAGGGTATTTAAACCCTCCCTGCAGTCAGGACAATGGCTCAGTGTCCTGTTGTTTCCTGTGAATCCAGAGTCCCCAGTCCCGAGTCCTAGTGGATCTGTGTAATAAGGATTGTTGGTGGATCTTTATGTGTGGAATCTGAGTGTATATGGCAATATTGTAGCAGACAGAAGGACTTACTGTTAGAAGCTCCCCCGTGGTCCGTATGGCGCCCTCCTTTGACAGGTCCAAGGTCGGAGGGTCCCAATGGTGTCCCCGGTGGTTCGAGAGGCTGATCGGTTGGGGGTGCGCGTCCCTATGGCCACCCGCGTTCTCGGCTGGCCGGGCCGAGCCGCGTCGGTCAGGAACGGAGAAAAATGGGGAGGAGCTACACGCGGCTAGAGCACGCCGTGCGTCGTGTGTCAGTATAGGTAACAGAAGTCGGAGATAGTCGGGTGTCTCCAGTGGCTACGCGTTTCGAGGGTTAACCTCTTTTTCAAGCCTCAAAGATACTGGAGATCGCGGGAAATCTATCTACTTTTAAATGTAACAAGAGGGAGGTGTGTAGTTTCGTTGAGCCCGGTGATAGGCCGCCGCTCGCATGGGGGGATTTGTGCATACATACGTGTTCATGTGGGATCATACATGTACTTATATTCGGGTTCCATTCACCCAGGGGCAGTCCACCACCTTGTTTTGGTTTTAACACTAATAAAATTCTTCTACAAACATATTTTTAAAACACACACTTAAATATTTTATTAATTAGCGATGGACAAATATCCCTCTGAGCACCCCGGGACCTGGCGAGATACACGAGATATAGATCAGATCGCCTCCAATAAAACGACAGCCCCAAATAAGAATGAAGTGTCACTAAAGGTCACACATCTACATCAGTTCGTGCACTGACAGGTCGCACTCAAGGTGGACCCAGACTGCTAATCCACTTTCCCTCCCCCCATGCAAGCGGCGGCCTATCACCGGGCTCAACGAAACTACACGCCTCCCCCTTGTTACACTTAAAAGTAGATAGATTTCCCGCGATCTCCAGTATCTCTGAGGCTTGAAAAAGAGGTTAACCCTCGAACCGCGTAACCACTGGTGACACCCGACAATCTCAGACTTCTGTTACCTATACTGACACACGACGCAAGGCGTTCTCTAGCCGCGTGCAGCTCCTCCCCATTTTTCTCCGTTCCTGACCGACGCGGCTCGGCCAGCCGAGAACGCGGGCGGCCATACGGCCATACGGACGAGCACCCCCAACTGATCAGCCTCTTGAACCACCGGGGACACCATTGGGACCCTCTGACCCTGGACCTGTCAAAGAAGGGCGCCATACGGACCACGGGGGAGCTTCTAACCGTAAGTCCTTCTGTCTGCTACAATATTGCCATATACACTCAGATTCCACACATAAAGATCCACCAACAATCCTTATTACACAGATCCACTAGGCCAAATCAAACCCATTCACGTCACTTTTGGTAGTTGCGCTCCTGTCCTAATTTGTCTTTATCTGCAGTTGTGAATAGACAGGGTCCTCTCCCTGTAGTGAGGAGCTTTGCACACCTACACACAATAGCCACCTAATTGGATTGTGCCCACAGGAGTGCGCTTTATCCTTTTTGTGTTTTTCATTTTTGTTCCGTCGCTGAAGGAGAATTGTTTCCTTAATTTTTCCCACACATGTTGAAATGTGCATTTTAGGCCTGAACATTATTTAAAAAGACACTAAACTCAGGAGTTTAATCTTAAAATGCATTTAAGTACCTTAACCAATAACAAAACTGTATCTTATTTGTGCATCACTAAATCATCGCTGAATTCATGCTGACACTGTACATCCTTCTGCAGGGTGGCTTCTTTTGTTCCCCATGGACCCTGTGTGTGTTGTAAAAGTAGTCACTACTCCAAGCTCTCCCCCGTGATGGACTACAATCTCAATACAAATTAGTAAACTGAACGTGAAATTTAAGCCCATCATGGGAGTGATGACTACTTTACAACACTGATAGATACCAAACATGTGAAGAAATGAAAAAGAATATGAAAACAACTGGCGGTGTCCATTAATGTCAAATTTACTGTCTACTCCGCCATTAAATTACACCAACACGATCCCAAAGATACTGCATAAACATTAAATCACAAGAGTGAGGTATGGATCATTTTTTTCTTTACTCAAGTACAAAAATGCTTAAAAATTTTCACAATCCCTCCACCAATAAAAAATGACAACATTGTCACCAACAGTCCCCCTCATATGGACTGCACTCATTCATGTCTTAAACATTGCTAAAACAATAAATCTGTCTCTGATATATTCCCTGATATATTCAAGGTGTCCACCTCTGTCACAGGTGAGGTTTGTCCAGATGGACATTATTGGTACTATACAATCATTGCCATCTTATTAGACTGGACCACCTTGAAGTCCAGCAGTAACTAACTGCCTGGAGTTGCTGAAGAAATCATGCCGTTCATGCACGCATAGCTGACATATATACTGCACAGCACCACAGTACATACACAGTGCATATTGGAGCTTCCTGCTTCTTATTATCCCTTGTGATAAATCCTGGCCACATCTTCTCTCACTGTGTATTAGTTAGATGGCTAGAGAAATCGGGGAAGCACCTTAATATGACTTTCCACAATACACAGATGTGGCAGGTCCGAGCTGTGGTGTCCCACATGTCTGTCAGGAAGCGGAAAGGGAAGTGGCCCAGAACTCATAGGCGGTTACTGACTTTAGACATTTATATGTGTGTTATCCCAATATTGAATGATGAATGTCATTTACTTTACTGGCAATATCTGGCGGAAATACCTACAACATTGTCATTTATATTGGTGGAGGGAATGTGAATATTTCTAGGCATTTTTGTACTTTTGAATTTTTCAATAAAGATTCTGCATCAATACCACACTCATCCCTTTGGTAACTATATATTATTCACTCTGTCTGTGGTTTATTGTTTATGCACCTTATATGCCAGGCCTTAAAATTGTGTGCATCTGCAAAATAGTGAACAATTACAATATTCAATTGTCCATAGGTTATGCTTTAAAACCTCTACAGCTCATCATTTTAAAAGTCACCAGAAATAATCACTCTGGAATTATTATTCTTACTCTGGCATGTGCAGTGATACCCAATATATGCTAACCAATTGCCATTTACGCATGATCGTGCTTCCTGGGTGCATGTATACGGTGGAGGTATGTTTAAATTTGTGGTTTATTTTATTAGGTTTTCATATTTTTAAACAATTGTTCACTTAACTTCACATCACTATCACAAGGGGGCTGATAAGCTCCTATGTGATAGTACATTAAGCAGGACAGGTCATCTTTATGGATATATCAGGGTCTATTAGACTCCTGATATCTCCCCTGTACTGCTGCTAAACAGAGTACAGATAGTACTTAATTTTCTCATTTCCTGGTTGCAGCCCACGAGGATTTGACATCCATCAAACAGGAAGTGCTCAGAGCAGTCAGCTTCCAGGTTCGCCATACAGAGGAAGGTTCAGTGAATTGATGTTCACGGATCCTCCTCTTCTTACCATTGTAAATAATTTGCACCATCATGGGCTCCCACAGGTAACAGCCACCTAGATCACTTCAACATTAAAGATCTGAGGCAGCAGTACAATTTTAAAACAAGCTTATGCCTGCTACTGCATTCAGTGTCATGACGTGTGGTAATTGCCTGGTTGTTATGATGACCTTCTGTCTTCAGTACTTTCTGATTCACAGATCTGAACGGGTATAATAGCAAACAGTCAGCAATGGCACCCTCCATGTCTCATCATTCTTTTAATCTAAAGAATGCATTTCCCCACATGGATGGAAGCTGGTATAAGAATAATGTAATACCCATCAGGATTGCTAGTCCTGAAGCAGATGAGACTTTGAAACAACCAACCTTTGCAACCACACTTTTTACACACGGTGTTCAGTACGGCCTCCAGTGTTATCTTCTGCTTGCTGTAGTCCTTAAACTCTCGTCTCTTTCGTGCATCCTGTCTGGAAGCAGAAAAATGTAGTAAATGTCTTCCAGGTCAGTAACTCTATGTCTGTTGGACAATGTAGAAAGTCATCCAGTCACTTACTCCAGCGCCACATTGTTTGGATCTATATCTTTCCCAGTTCCTTGATGAACAACCTTCATGGACAAGGAGATTTTATGCTTCCCATCTTTTACCTGAAATAAGAACAGCGAGATTTGTCCAGTTATGAACTGCAAACCCCAATATATTTTAAGTAGACCCAACCTAAAAGAGCAAATCTGGAAACAGTCAGCAACAGGCTGGCGTTAATATACAAATCAAATATGCTTCTGTCTACCAATTATAGACCTTGGATGAGAAAATCATATTGATGCCAATGACCAACTTCCCTGAGTAATTTCAATTTGTATCTCATTTTTGTGTCTACAATCTTTACAGCGCTAGCTAGCCGGGTGTAACCAGAAGCGTGCTTGAGAAAACCACAGACAGATGACACTGTGCAAAATCAGGATCACAGAGTAGAAAGTCACCAGCACTATATCTCTATCAAACACTTAGAGGCATATTTATAAAGCAGTTAATCTGGCATTCAGCAAACATTGCAAGTGAATCTTCCACATGTATGTGTTTTAAATGACATTGATTGATTTACAGCCAGTGAACATTTGATTAAAGCCATTTTCACTGTAATATACATATGCTCCTTAAAGGCAAACTCTGGGAATTACTACCCTTGCAGTGTTGTTCCAACCCCAACACACACTACAAGGGCTAAATGCTCATTAACTCCAGTAGGGTAGAGAAATAAGGTGTAATATTTGCCTTACTGCTAACTCCTGTAAGCTCCCTCCATCTGTGAGACCAATCCAAAAAAGCCTCTTGTCTAAGATGCTCCAGCTGCTGGTGGCATGCCAAAGTGATTAAGTAAAATGCAGGGCCAATAGCGCTGCATTGTATGTTAGGACAGTGAGGATTGTCACAACTCAGAGTGTAAAGCTGGCCATACACCTGTCAATTTCTTTCGTTCAACCCGTAGGCTGAAAGGAAGAAATTGACGCGATTCCTCCAAAGACAAACAGCGCGTCGATCGAGGAAACTACGCTGTTTGCATTGTATTCTGACAGGTGCCCCCGCCACCTGTGAGAATACCCGATCAGAGCGGGCAGCTCATTGGCTGCTGGGTTTGATAGTACAAAGATTTTCCAGCTGGCTCCTTCGATCAGCTGATCGAGGAATGCCGGCTGAAAGGGAGCCGACAGCCCCATTCACTGGCTGAATTTTGACCAGTACATTAAAAATCGTCCGAAATTTGGCCAGTGTATGGGCACCTTTAGGGAGAAGAGGAGAGCGCCAAAGTATTACACCTCATTGCGCAACCCCGTAGACTTGGGGAGTATTTGACCCTTGCAGAGCTGTGGGGCCCCACTGCAAGAGTAGTTTGTGTCTAATTCCTGGAGATGGGCTTTAATCAAAGGGTTGCATTTATAGTGTGGCAAAATGACCAGTGTTCAAGATAAATTGTTAAAAAGGAGTGCTGGTGACTTTCTATTCTATGAAGTGTCAAAAGGCAGTTAGAAAAAAAATGAATGTTATTGCTATATGATGGAGAAATATGTGATTAACATAATCAACATTGATGTGATATTAAATATGTAGATGTAATGCTAAAAGGTAAAGAAATTTAGAATGTAGCTCTTCTTTATAAAACTAATTAGGGGGGGTTCACAGTGTAATTAGATGCCGGACCAAGAACATAGTCTGTTATGCAGTGAATGTTTATCTTACATTTCACATGCAGTAAGTCAGTGTTTTACCAATCCTTGGTTGACTATGTACTGCTATGACAGACTTTGTCATGACTCACAATTTAGTGCAGTTTTTTTGTGGTGTACAAATATCTACATCAATGTAGTATTTAGCTGTATCTAATAACACTACCCTCTCTACCCTCGGTTTCCTCGATGTCCAATATGGCATATGCCAGGAAATAGATTTAGCACAGATTCAAATTCCAGAGCAGAAGTGTGCTCTCCTATGGACCTTCCTTGTAGATACCAAGCTCCACCATGTAGTACTCAAAGCAAAGATGTATCATTTTGACATATGCTCACTGAATGCTGGAACACTGATAAAAAAACATTATGTATAAACAATTGCATATAAAACCCTGACAGGGGCGCAGCAGCATTTACAGTCTACCAGCTCTACAGAAGATTTCCCATTAAAAAAGCCAAACAGCAATAATCATAAATGTTCCAAAGATAGAGTGAAATTCCCTTTCAAGGGTCATCGAGAGCTATAATGTCCTAGTGAAAGATTTGCCCACTTACTCACATTGCTAAAACTGTGGAAAGTGCTCGGTTTGCATATACAAAATGACTTTGTATACTCATGCAAAAGGTAATCTAAAAGCTAAAAACAAAAGGAAATTTCCTGTAGTCAGGTCTAAAGGTTTTGGGAAAGCTCAGCAGGCCAGCAGAATGTCTTGTGTGCCCCAACTTAACTCAATTAATTCCAGTCATGTTATACAAGTACAAATAAATACATTTTTGTTATATGAACTATATACATGTTTATTTTTTGCACATCTCTTGAGGTCACATTTTTCAGTCTCAAAATGAACTTATCATGCATGAAATGAAAATGTAATACCTCGTTGCCAATAACCTTCACCCACACTCTCTCACCAACATCAACTACTTCTGAAGGACGGTCAACATGAGAAGATGACATGTGTGTTCTGTGGACAAGGCCTAAAAAGTGAACAAGAAAACAGGTGTTTTTTTTCTTTTATTTTTACATTGATCTGCATAAAGGGTATTCTCAGCAGTGGGACTCACTCACCTTGCTTTGTGCAGCCTGGAATTTTAATAAATGCTCCATAATCTGTGACATTTGCAACCTACAGAAGAGAGATTGGTTTGATATTTATATTAAGCAATGATAAGACTTTTCACAGCTTACCCCAGCGATATGTCTCTAAAGTGGCGTTTAATAAACCACAGTTGCATTGTTTAATAACACTGTTGCATTGTGGCAAGCAGATATGGCTGCAGATGACTAGGGGGCAGGAGGAGAAGGGGGGTGTTTCTCCACAATTGTAAAATATATACAGTATATGTATCCATTATTTATTTTATTAATAAATGTTGTGATGTGCAGTTATATGTGTGTTATGTTTTTCTTTCATGATTTATGACTGGCAGGGGCTGTTAGAAGGATATTTATACAATTGCTGTTTTATTTATTATAGTAATACAAGTTTTAATTTTCCATAAAAAGTTTTTTTAATGGTTTTTTATTTATTTTTGAGAAGTAAACTATTATCCTTTCATGAGGATCAAAGATTTACTCACACAGGATGTCCCTGTGCAGCTTACAATACATTCCTCGCATTCCTTTCTCTACTGATCAAACTAAAGACTAACTGCTGCCTATTGGCACTCAGGTTATTAAACAGCGTCGGGGAAGCAGAGAAACAACACTGTGATCTGCAGAGGAAAGATAAACCATGATAAAGCAGGCTTTATCATGGTTTATTAAAACGGACAGCTCAATATTATAAATATGAAATATTGCATAAAAAGCATTTGTAATTTCATATCCATCTAACAGGTTGATTTTCACGTTATAAGTTCTCATTACCCCCTGTTTATAGAGCTCAACAGCTCAAGCTGAATTTACGAACAGTAGTCAAAGCTGTGGTGCATACCACTCTACCTCACTCCCTCCAGCAATAGCCAAGCTTTCAATCAGAGGCAGAGTGTTTAACACTTGTTCTATGTTCTCTCTTTAGAATACCCATGGTGGCATGTGCATACCCTGTGTGTTTGTATGTGTACAGTGTATGACCCAAAACTATTTCAGTTCCCCCCTTAAACTTTGCAGTTGCATTAAAAGGTAATGCACGAATTGTGGGACATCCATGGGTGGTGAATCCCCCAATAGCCTCAGTGCCAAAAACAGTTGCCTTATAATGTATGCATAATTATTTATAACCATGACACATTCACTGCATGATAAACAAATCCCAAGTCGGGGTGCGCAGTGTACCTCAAAATATTACTGAAAAATCATGTTGTTACAGCTACTTGCATGCAGCACACCAATGCAGGATCAAAGCACGGAAGAGGTTTAACAATTCTACTTAACTATCTTAACAGGTTTAATATGTTTACCTCTCCTTGGAAGACTTCATACAACTCTGGCACACTATCCATTGCTTTTTTGGGTGGTGTACGAAACTGCTGGCTTCAAACAATTTATGTTGTAACCATCTGTAAGATAAAGAAATAAACAGTTTTTTTTTTTATCATCATCAAAAAGCTCAGTACATTCTTTTAGATTCTGCAATTGTAAAGGAGCCTGATAGTTGCTGAAAAATGAAGGTAGTGATTCCCTTCTGAAGCACATGTGAATGTAGCCCAAGGGCTTGTTGTGATGGGCCTTGGGCTTGTGTTGATGACATCAGTTTGACATGCTTCTGAGATTATACAGAATTTATTGATGGGTACATTAGACCTCCTTCAAGCGGGTTGGACATGCCCATAGACTTGTATGGGAATGCAAAACCCACCTAAAGTGAGCAAAAGCCTGTACACACATGTCCTAATAAAGTCATTGGAGGTACTTCATTGTCCAGCACTTGTATGATACAAATTTAGGAGGGAAAGAATTGGGAATCATATCAACCTGCTTGATAAACCCTTTGCTTCCAATAGGAGATACCCCATCGTGTCTGTGAACTACACCTAACAAACACGCTACGGCTTCAGGTAGCTGACAATTATCTCATATTACTAACAATTTCAAGTGAACCTGTGTTTTAGCTATGCAGGGCAAAGCAACAGGTTCACTGTAATGTTGGCTTCCACAGCAGCATATACGTATCTTCTATTTGCTCCTCCATTTCCCTGTGAGAGTGAGAAGCAACCATGTGTAAGCTCCTAGTCACGATTTGTGACTGCTGTCTGTTGCTGTAGTGAAATATTTCCGCTTACTTCTCATCTCTGTGATGGTAGTCACTGAGACAAGAAATTAGGGAAAATCTCTTCATTGGGGACATAGCAGTAAAATACGGTCATCAGTAGAATGGAGAAGGGTTAGAACTTCTGTCAGTTTTTTTAAGGTTCTTCCTTATGAATAGAGATTTCCGTTCTCTACCTGTTCCACCCAGTAGTTACATGATGGGGAAATCCCTCCAACAAGGTCACATACAACAGTAAAAGCTTTACAGAGATTCCAGCCAAGACTAAAAGAAATAGTTTTGCCAAGCACTAAAAACAAGTACTATTATAGTAATCCATGTTAATGTACAGGGCTTGAAAAATCCACTTGTCCGCTCCCCCCCATGTAATAGCAATAAAGCTGTGTGTAAAAAAAAAAAAAAGAAGAATACTAAAATTAAAGAATCATTAAAAAAATAAAGAAGCATAAACATTTTTTAAAAAGAAAACATTTTTTTTAAAGTCCCTGCCCCCCACATACACACGCAGATATGCGTCGGGTGCGCCTACGTGCGAAAATGACTATTGCGCCGCACATGTTAAATATCGCCGCAAACGTCGGAATGAGAGCAATAATTTTAGAGCCATTAATCACTGATAACACTAAACTAATGAGCAGTAAAAGCTCTTTAATCGTCGCCTATGGGTATTTTTTGCGATTTTGCGGGCGCACGCAATTTTAAGGCTTGACATGTTTGGTGTCTATTTACCCAATGTGACCCCAAATGTGATGTTTTACTAAAAATATGGGTAAGAATAAATGTTTTATAACATAACGTAGGGAAACTTTTTTTTTAATTGATGGTACTTTTTTCATTACAAAGTTTAAAAAAAATAACCCCCCCCCCCCCTCGTGGTGATTATATACCTCCAAAAGAAAGCTCTATCTGTCCCCAACATTTTTTTACATAAATTGCAAGGCTATGGTCCGGTCATGCTGACTGGTGACATTTTTGACTGACTGGTGAGACACCATCAAATTTTTCAAGCCCTGTTAATGTACATTATTCTTAGAAAAACAAATTGGCCTGGATTGTCCTTGTGCAGTATTTGAAACTGCACTCAGACAGCTGCTGGGTTCTGCCATCTTGGCCATGATGTCATCGGCCCCAGCAGACACAGGACTGTCATTCGGGTCAGGTGCGTACTTTGATGCAGACAACGGCACAGCTTTCTATACAGTACTGTCTTGTGACACCTGGCAGTCACTGGACTTAACAAATGTAAAAAAGGTGATCGACATTCTGCAGGAACACTGTAGCCTTTGAAGACTTACCACTGCTCATCGCAGTTTTTCAAAAGTGCGACCCAGCCCTGTGCCTGTTCACATGACGTTGTGCTGGCAGCTGCTCATACACAGAGGTGACATTGTGGCTTGGGATGTGTGGGAACAGCTGCGAGGGGCCAAAAGAGAGATTCACTTAGAGAAGTGTCAGATTCCTTACATTTTAACAGTGTTTACAATTGCTAAATGTATTTTTTTTAAACAATAGGTAAAAGGTTTATAGAAATATTGCTGTACTGCAATAAGGGGTGCAAATAGTAAGTGCTATGTGATGACAGGTTCTCTTTAAGCACAGCTGAAGTATTTGCTGGACAGCACTAGTCAGCAACAAATTGGGGAAATGGGGCCCTAGGCATTTAAGCACCCTAGGGAGCTTTGTCCCCTTCCATATCACAGATTGACATTAAAGGAGAACTATGGGGTCAGTGTTTTTCCCCATAGTTCTCCTTAGGGTAACGGGAGGACACAAACTAGCGTCCTCCCGTCACCCTAAGCTCAGTTTAACGCGAGCTACAGCTCGCGGTATACTGAGACGCCGCAGCCGGAGCGGATCCCGACCTGGACGTCGGGATCCGCCCAGCTGCGTGAGTGACAGCTGGCTCTGCCTATCTAGAGGCAGAGCCAGCTGTACC